AGAGAGAGAGAGAGAGAGAGAGAGAGAGAGAGAGAGAGAGAGAGAGAATGTGGGTTTGTGTGTCTCATTATGTGCATAAACAGCTTAAATTAATATGGAACTCAGAAGAGAGCACCTGGTTCTTTGTAAGCTCTTGTTAAAGGTGTTTGGTAATAACTGATGTTTGTTCTGGGTATGGAATCAGTTCCTCTACAAAAGAAGGGTGTAATTATATCTGCGGAGACATAATTTATCTTCAGAAATACTCTAACAACTTGTTGATAAAAAATAATCCTCCCTCGTCTATGCTCCTATAAGAATTCCTCTAAATCGTAGAGTGCATCAGTATTCTATTATCTCCTTCTTTCCAAGAGGACGATTGTTTAAGAACATTAAGGAGGATTATAGGAGACAATGGGAATGTAAGTAGACATGGAATTGTTAGGCAATGTCATTAGAGGAAATAGTGAGAGTCATTTCAAAACCAGATAGGTATGGCAATATAATCCAATATTTGGTGGTTATGAACCAACTATCTATTTTTCAGAATTTATGAAATCTGAACACGGGAAGATGATTTGACCCTAATCATTTCAAAAGAATTTTGGTCTGGTCTAAACAATATTGTATAGCATTTGGGAATAAAGATGAATCCCAGCATCCCTGCACTGGAGGCCAAAGTGCAGAAGATCTCCACAGCCACCATGATCTTGCCTTTTGTGCTGTGGTAAACAGGGATGAACGTCACCCAGACACTGCAGAACACCAGCATGCTGAATGTTATAGATTTGGCTTCATTAAAGGCACCAGGAAGGTTTCTGGAAAAGAAAGCCAGAGTGAAGCTCCCAAAAGCCAAGGTCGCCAAGTATCCCAGAACATAGTAAAAGGCATTGACTGAACCCTTGTGGCAAACAATGATGATGTGACTATGCTCTGATCTTGCATCAATATCAACAGAAGGAGGAGAAGCTTCCAGCCAGACTGCACATACAATAACTTGAATTAGAGTACAGATGGGAATGATGTAGTTAGATACCCGTGAAACAAGAAAGTACTTCATCATTCTTCGTGAGGCTGTGACTTTGAATGCTAGAATGACAGTAATTGTTTTGGCCAACACAGTGGAAACAGAAACAGTGAATACAACTCCAAATGTGATTTGTTGAAGGATGCAGGTGGCTGAGTTTGGATGGCCAATGAAGAGCAAGGGGCAGAGAAAACAAAAGATGAGTGAGACAAGCAAGATGTAGGTGAGAGTTCGGTTATTGGCCTTAACAATGGGAGTACTGTGGTGCTTTACAATGACCCCAAGAACCACAATGGTGAATGCAGAGAAGCACAAGGAGATTAAGGAAAGTGCCATTCCCAATGGTTCTTCATAGCTCAGAAATACAACAGCTTTAGGAATGCAGTGATTCTGCTCTGTGTTAGCATAGTGGTCCTCTTGACATTGGACACACAGATCCACATCTAATGTACAAATCAAGGTATTGTTAGTGAAGTTTCATCAATTTTACTGAGAGGATATTTAATTTAAGGAAATAGAAGTGCAGCAATATATGAGTCTGTGTGCTGAGAATGCGTTGAAGGTCACTGCTACATGAAATAATTGATAACATTTCAATGCTGATCATTGTTAGGGAAATGAAAACAAAAAATACTTTTGTCTATTTTACTATATTGTTGTGATCATTTATCTTGGGTGTGTAACATTTATGGTTGTGTTTACACATAAAAGTAACAGAAGGTGTCATTAACATGAGAGTGATTGGGTTTGTATAGGGGAAACATGGGGGTGAGATTGAGACCTGAAATTTATACAAATATAATATTGATGTTTGTAACTACAAAATTAATTTGAAAAATCTTTCCAAGTTTTAGCCTCTTGTGACTGTAATAATACCACATTCATAGACCTTTTCACAAAAAGGTGGGAAGCCTATTACTGAAGGTAAAAAGCTCTATAATTCCCACCATAGTATGTGTAGGGAATCTGATTGCCTTTGCACTGAATCATTGAATGATTGAAATAAGGGATAGTGTAGTTCCAAGATTAGAAGTCTTTTACATAGAAAGTGCATTTGTGGATTGCCATTATTATGTTATTTGTTCATGGGCTTAGAAATTTAGATTGGTTGTGAGCAGAATTTATTGCTCTTGGAAAGTACTTAAGCTTGATTCACAATACCAAGGTTATATGTCTTCAAACAGCCTTGTTGAATTATCTATGTGTATGTTTAATGTCGAACTGCATGAATATTACAAAAAAGGTAGGAGTTTGTTAACTCCTACCATTTGATGGGTTCTGAAGATAAATCTACAGCACCATACTTAGTGGGAAAGAATTTAATTGCTAAGCCATCTTACTCACAATGTCCTTTTTGATGTCACTTCAATTATATAGGCTGGCACAAAAAGGACCAGAATAATTATATGCCTGCCATTTGTATTTATTTCATCCTATCTAAATAGTTATTTGACTAACATGGGCTATGCTAGTGCCAATGCCATATGAAATCTGTGGCTAGCTCCTTTCAATACAAGAAAATTTTAACATGTTCTATTGCAGTAAATTTTAAAGAAGAGCTATGTATAATAGTAATGAATAGAAGACCTCTCATATTTTCATATTATGTGTCGAGTGATCCTCAGTTTTCTAAATTTCAAATAACTTTGACTTTTGATGAAAAGAGTGTTACCTAATATGCAGAATATTCTAAAGGAAGGAAATATTCATTTGAATACATAATAATTTTATAAGTTATTATTTGCTGTCTTATTCATCTTACAGAGGACTTGGATTTGTCTACCCATACCCACATGCCTTATTTTATTTTCCATGTGCTTCTGTACATACAACATATGCATAGACTTATGTAACGGCATATATGTCAAGGCAAAATGAATAAAGTATTAAATATTCTTGATCTACATATATTTTTAGAGAGCATTAAATACTAGAAAATATCTTGTCTAGAGTACACTGGCACTAAAGATTTCTTACCAAAACTATTTACTTGAGATTATGCCATCTACTATAAATTTTCAAGGAGTCAAATACATAGGACAATTATTTTTTTCCTTAATAAGGAGATTTTAAATTATTCTATTCCTATAATGACTAACTTTGGATGAAGATGTATTTCATTTTTACATTTCCACTTTATACTACTTCACCACTCCAATATGGGAGCAAGATGAAAATCCATGTAAAGAACTTATTCCCACAGGAAATACTCACTTGTCTCATTAGAAATTTCATTTTCTGGACAGGGTTTGCAATGAAAACAGCATGCTGCCATTCCATCCTTCACAGATTTTCTAAATCCAGGACCACAATCAGCACTGCACACAGAAGTCAGCATCTAATAAAAAGTAGACAAATGCTGCTAACAGGAATTTTACATACCTCTTATATAATTATATATTAGCATGTGATATTAATAAACTAATTTTATCTACACCAAAAAGTTACCAGATTTTATCTACTGCATTATATGATGATAGACATCAGTGCATGGAAAACATTGAAGAAAAGTTTAGTTGTTTCCCAGTTCCTTGAAATTCATGAAGAAAGGCTTCTAGCATCCTGTGTGAAACACTACAGAGGTTTTAAGATTGTTACTCTAGTAACAATAGTTAATTCTTGTCACCTGAACACATAGTAGTGTATAAAGGCACAGAGAATCCTAATTGAGAAATTATCTCTGTCAGACTAGCTTGTTATCATACATGTGAGGCATATTTTAAATTGATAATTGGCATAGGAAAGCCCAGCCCATTGTAAGCAGTGTTGCTTGTAGCCAGTGTTACATTAGAAATCATGGAGAACAAGCCAGTAAGCAGAGTTTTTTGAGTGACTATGTTTCAGTCACATTATCCAGATCCATGCCTTTTCTTCACTTGGGTGTAACCCTTGAGCCAAATCAACCTTTTCATCCTCACTTTGCTTGTAGTTACGGTTTAATAGCAGCAACACAGTAGCAAATTAGGACTAAAAGACATACAAAACAGGGGAAATAAGGACTCAAGTATCAGACAACCAACACAAACTAAAACAACATTAGTACAGCAAATCTTAACAAACTAAGTGGAAGCAGAAGAACAGCAGCAAATGACCAGCCCTATTGCATTTGTTGTTAGCAGGTCCTGAGTTGCTGCATAGTGAGCAGGAAGATGAAGTGTTTCCTGAGGTGAAAAAACTATAGAGCCTGCAAATGATGTGAAAACCTGAGGAAGATTTAAGTTACTTATAGTTAATTTAAGTATTTATTAAATTAAGAAACCTTGGTTTTACAATAAATCTCATGATGGGTATGATATGCTGCTTTGGAATTTTGCTGACAGCTGCAAGCTAATGCTGCATCCTTTACTTGGTTCCTACTGACATCACAGAGTCTATTATCCACAGATTTATCTCATGTTCTTTAGAAATATGGTTAACCACAACTCTTCCTTTTTTGTTTTTGTTGAAAAAAGGTCTCCCTTAGTAGTATTAGTAGATCTAACTTCCTTTATATATATAAAACAGTGCACAACACATTCCTTCATTTACTGTATTTATTTTTATTATTCATTTTCACACTTACTAAGATGTTAAAGACGATATTATGACAAATTCATAACATGCATTTCCTTGTCCATATTCTGCTCATTTAATTTAAGGCAGAGTATCCATTTCAGCCTATGTTTGAGTAGAGTCAATGAAAAAGTCTGACAGGCCACAAATGCAGAGAGATTCTCTTGACTGATAATTCAAAGAACATAGATTAAAGACATGTGCCACTAAAAAACTTGGTCTCATTTTGTTATTTTAATGGAAATTATAGGATTCTCCTGTCCATGTAATGCAATGTCATCCATAATTTTAACATAGACAAGTTAATTATTACATGTGTTCTTCTATATTGTCAGATTTTTGTTTGTTCTTTTTTAAGTTCTGAATTGATGCTAGACTGCATTTAGAGCATTTTCTCTAATGTTTTTGAATAATAATATAGTCCTATCTTTTATTTTATTTGTGTGATGTTTTATACTTAACTGATATGAATATGATGAACCACACTCACATTCATGGAATGAAGTCTTTTGTACACAGGGACTGATATTTTAGTTGTGTCATTGACCTCTGTTGGTAGATGTTTAGTCAAGACTTATTTCAGGCATTATCATAATGATCAATGAGGTGGTAATTTAATTTTGTTTCTTCTTTTCTACTTCATTATATTGCCCCCCCCATTTTTATAGATATGCTGTGACATGTGTATAAGAGAGTTGTTGTTTTTTTATCCCCCAGGGAGGCCACAAAGGGATGTCCATTTTTTGTTGTTAATCATTTTATTTATTTACATTGTATTATGTCCCTCCCCTTTCCCCCCTGTATGAACTCTGCTCCACTTCTGCCTCCCCTTTCCATCTAAGAGAGTACTACATCCTCCCACTCCCTCTTCAGTCCTCTAGTATCTCCCTTCTCTGGGGCATGAAGCCTCCTCAGGACAAGTGATTAAAATGTTAATTTTTAATAAACCAATTGTACCCCCAGTGGTAATATTGATGATGTGAGTGGCTTGTACTTTTATCTTTAGCCATAGTGCTATTTAGGTCATTACTACTACCAAGGTCCATATCCAGGTCTGTAGTCCTATGGCATCCAGAGACTTTGCTGATATCTGAGGTTTGTGTTCTTACTAATGCCTGTGCAAGTATATGTAGTCACTGATGCCACAATATGCATGTCTAGGCTGGAGGTCCTGCAGCTGATTCTATCTGTGTTGAAGTCCATGACCTATGATACCACTGAAGGCCATGTGGATGCCCTAAGGTTGTTACCTTAAATCATGCTGTGGTCAATGGATTCTGCTGTCGCCTGGAGCCATACTGCTCCGAGTGAACTTCACTGCCACAAGAGGCAAGGGGATATCAGGATCCATGCTGCTCCTGATGGTTGTGTCTGGTCCATGGTCCTACTGCATCAATATCTATATTGTTTTCCTGGCAAATGGCATAACTGAAGACTTGGGAATTTTCATGGTTTGGACTGCAGCATGAAACCATGTTGATGTACATTGGCTGTGCTGACTTTGAGGGCCTTGTCTGTGTCTGTGGCCCTGATACATTTAGGACCCAGGTTTTTGTCTCTGCTAACACTATAAACATGTAGAAACCCATTATCTTTGCTCCTGATGCTTTAAAAATGATAGGAAATGACTTTTGCAGTGATTTAAATGCTAGCAAATTCTTAGATGTGAAGAACAGAAAAGGGTTAAGTAACAACTCCTACGGATATCCCCATCCCTACCCTTCTCCCACCATACAAGAAAAAGAACAGCTCAAACAGGAAGGGATAAAAGAACTCTTAAAATGATGCTAGCTATCCACAATTGAGGAATTCTGGAGGGATTTGGGGAGGAAACAACTAAGTTCTATTTATAGGACAGGAACTGAGAGTTTTACCATATTCCAGTGGGTACATAAACAACAGAAAATGAAGTTTTCACTTTAATTTTTTGAAAGGTGCTGTCATGGAGAGGCAGACATGGAAGAACTGAAAACTTGATTTGATCAGGCTGCATTATGTGAAATTATCAAAGAGTCAAAAAATTATGTTAAAAAATAAACCAAACTCATTGTCTGTGATATTTAATTAGAGAAGATGACCACTAACAGTAAATTAATACTAAAATTATTTGGTAATTACTGTTCTGTTGTTATTTTAATACTTGATACATTTTTAGCTGTTGTTCTGTCAGGTATTTGAATGTTGTTTATATGTTATTTTGACCTCCTGTGGTCATATTACTTTTATATGTGATGGAGTTCTTTTAAAGTCCTTCATAGTGCTTATTTATCAGTTATGTGTTATTATAATTGTGTTCATTCTGAAGATTTTTATGTTTTCTTTTATTATAAGAAATAAACTCACTGGATATAGTAACTGGATTGGCAATTATATCTCTTAATTTTTGAAAGACATAAATATTATTCTCCTCATTTAAGAATGCTCATGGTGTGTTAAAATCCCCAAACCTCAAAAAAGTTACGGAAAAATGTTAGCACACGGTGAAACCAATGTAGTTCCCTGAGAATGGGAAATAGAATAGATATCATGGGTGAAAAGAGTGGTGTTGGGATGAGAACAGAAGAGAATGATGTAGAAGAGTAGAGTACAGAACATTTGGAAAGACTATTAGTATGTGGCTGGCATGTCTGAGTCAAATTAGGAAGCTAAGGCAATAGAAAAGCCCAGAAATCTCTGAGGGTGACATTAACTAAGTCTCCTCGCAAAGGAGAATAGAGATCCTGAAATGTCCATCTTCAAAAACCAGGTAAATTTTCAAGGGTATGGATTGAGTCTACATCCCATCTACAAAACCTTTGACTTACACTTTATCCTGCTCAAAGTTGTGTGGGAGTAAAGATAGAGCAGAGGATGATGGAACAGGCAAACAATGACTGGGCTAGCTTGAGAAGCATCCTATACGAGAAACGTTATACTTTCTGACAATAATATTCTGTTATACTTGAAGGCAAGAGTCTAACATATCCAGATGAAAGAGGCATCACTCAGGAACTGAAGGAAGTAGATGTATAGATTGTATAGATCCACACCGATATAATAGATTGAGCTTGGGGAATCCTGAACAAGACAGCAAAGAAGGAATGTAGGAGCAAGAGAGGTCAAGGAAACCACAAGAAACTCTACATAATCAACAAACTTTCAGTGCTAAGTTCTCACAGAGACTGAACCAACTATCACAAATAATGCACGGTACTGACCTAGGCCCTCTAAGCCTTTTTAACCATTGTGCAGCTTGATCTTTATGTGGGACTCCTAAGAGCAATACTGGGTTCTGTGTCTCTTGCTTTTCTTCAGGATAATTTACCCCTACTGGGCTGCGTCTCTTGATCCCAATAAGAGAACATAAATCTGTGCCTTGTGATTGTGCAACATGATATGCCAAAGCATGTTGATATTGGTTGTCAGGGTTTAGAGGGCTCCTCTTTCTGAAGAAGGAAGGAGTAGCGGATGAGAAAGTAGGGAAGGATAGGAAAAGGAATAGGAGCAGAGGAGGGTGTGTAAATGGTTATTGGTATGCAAAGTGAATGGAAGAATTAACTACATTTAAAAATAACTGAAGCTGGTAGAACCTGTTGTTATCTAGAGCAAGACTTTCTACAAATGAGGGCTTTCTCCTGCAGCTTTTATATCTGCTCCTTGTTCCACAATAAATTTTAAGAAAAAAATTTCAAGGACTATTTTATTTCACAAGCTGAGTACTTGCTATTTCAAAGTTGCTGTTTATATACCTCAACTAGACAGATACCTACCCTTCCCACATTATTTTGGATATGTACAGCTGCAATATAATGGGTATACTGTTGATACCTAGAGGGTGCTCTTCTTTGTCCTGTTCCCATCTATTTAAATTTGATTTTTTAATCATACTTCCTTGTTCACCTATGAATTTCACTTTTTCTTGTTTAATTTTTGTCATAGTTTGAATTGTCTACTGTTTATGCCTTTTTCTTCATGTCTTGCCATCCTGTCCTCAACTTAGAGAATGCCCTTTGTGAGACTATTCAATGACATACTTAGTTTATTTTATATATATAAATGGGGCCAGACAAGTTTCCTTTAGTGAACATTATCTTTTAAAAGTTATGATTCAGGCCCGAAAACATACCCAAATTCCCAAAAACAACTGTTACTCATGAAGACCCATGTATGATTTCTACCACCCACTGAATGACATGAAGTTCTTGCAAATGCCCTGAGATTTGAATAACTCTTCAGCTATCCACATATGCTACATATACAGGTGTTGCACAGATACACATGCAGACAAACCACCAATACCAACATAAAAATAGAAGCAGAAAATAAAGAAGGTCTAGTTCATAGAGTATCTAAATTTGTCATAAAATGTTAATGTATGGTTAGCTAGAGGTTTTGGAAATTTAGGACTAATTGTTAAACAGGCTTAAAACTTACATAATAAAAATTGGTGACTTAGTTATGATGAATTTATTCTGTCCTTACAAAGAACCAGAGTCTTTGAACATTCTTTAAAAGGATTTACCGTAAGATGGGACTAATAGAATATTCCTCATACTAGAAATAATATCAAACTGTTTTTCTAAAATAGTTAATATTAAAGGTATGAAACAGGTTGTAATATGATACAAATACACTGTGGCATGTTTGAATTCCTCAATGAATTACTAAAACGTCACCTATCCCATGAAAAAAAGAAACACAGGATGCTAAAAATTAACCTCTCACATGACAATCAATTCTATTTCACCAGTTGTAAGGAAGGTTGGATGCACACACTTGACAGTGTAATTTAAATTTGTACAATTTGGCTGAACTCACCTGTGTACTTCCTGTTACCCATTCTATCTTATCTTCAGATAAATGTAGCTGTTGGCCACTTGGAAAATAGGAACTGAACATTCCTGTTTTAACTTTAAGTCCAAGGCCCTGTGGGAAATTCCAAATGTAGAAAATGTCATATTCTTCTTGTAGTTTGTCTCTTTGGTTCATATTCACTCTGTCTCCAACAGGATTAGTGAAGGACATCTTCTTCAGAAAGGAACACAGCTGAAAGACAGGCAACATACTATAGAGTATACTCTCTTCCTTAAAGTTAGAAAATACATTCTTGTTTCATTTTATCGACAATATACAGGTGAAATTTTTCAGTGAAAGTAAAGGAATATACAAAAGTATAATATTCCTATTACTTTAGTTCTCTAAGAAGAGATTACCAATCAAGTACAAGCATGCATGTATACAGCAAATATATATTTGTAATATGAAACATACAAACACATGAAGCAGAGAGACTTGCTTCCAAATAGAGATACACACATAATAGAACTAAAAGCTTATTTACAAACACATACATATACGTTCACAAACATACACATGAAAATACAGATACACACACAGACAGAATACACATCTAGAATTATTTATTTTATGTATATGAGTACACTGTCGCTGTCTTCAGACTCACCAGAAGAGGAAATCAGATGGCATTACAGATGGTTGTGAGCCACCATGTGGTTGCTGGGATTTGAACTCAGGACCCCTGGAAGAGCAGTCGGTGCTCTTAACCACTCAGGCACATACACACAGAAACACGTGCACAGAGGAATATTCATAGGTAGACAGACATGTACTGATACCCATACAAAGTGACACTGACACACAGAAAAATTTATGATCTCATATGCAGACAAACAGGCAAAAAATGAAGGAATGTGGGGCAGTGGGCTGTGAGAAGCAGTTGGGTACCTGGTTGAGCACAGGCTTTGAACCCTGGAGACCCTCAAGGACAGTAGGAATTTGGCTATCTGTCATGTAGGAAAGGTGCCCAGGCCCGTCCAGATGTAGATAAGCTATCCCCAAGCTCTCACACCAGACCAATCGGAGGTACCTGCTGCCAGATCCTGACCCACTCCAAAACTGTATATAAGAATCCTATCCAGAAGGAATAAATGTGTGCAAGAATTACTCCATCATATGAGATCTGTAATGCTGCCACTTGGGAAGATATCTGATTTCCCAAAATGCCTTCAGGAGCTTCCCCACACTCCTTGATGGCTATTCGGCCTCTCACTGGCTCAGCCTGTCATGACTCAGCGCAGAGCAATGAGTGCAACATCTTGAAGAAACTAAGGCAGTAGTAGAACTGGACACAGGGGTAAAGGCAGCTGCCCCAGTGGAGGCAGCAGAGGCAATTTCCGCTCCCTACTGGAACTCTCTCCCCTTTGCCTGAACCTTTGCACCGGGCCAGGCCAGAGAACTCCCTAGGAAAGCCTCTGCTACACAGGCCCACAAAAGAACATACACAAAAACACACAAACCACACAGGTACATGCAGACATATGCATTGATGATTATACACATGAATACACATATTGACAGAATCCACCATACAGAAATGGAAACAGACAAACTTATATTAACTGCCATAGACAGACAGACAAAAGGGCAAGACTATCTATGAATAACTCATCTCTCTATCTCTGTATATATTTCCCACTATATCTATATCTGTGTGAATAGATAGATAGATAGATAGATATAGATAGATAGATAGATAGATATAGATAGATATAGATATCTACACAGATATACAAAAGCAAAGAAATATACAAATATGCAGTGGTAATTATACATTAACACACATGACCACACATTGAATGTAATGAACTGAATTCTAGCAATACTTTCTGTGTAAGTACTCTCACAGCACCAAGTGATTCCACTAGCCTAGATTATGAATAGCAAGAGAAGGGATCACTAGTAAAAGCTATCCACTTCAGTGAAAAGAATGTATTTGAGAATTAATGAACACGGATTCATCATTGAATGGACTCTTGTGGATAGACTATATGTTTTCAATATTAGAATATGTATGATGATACTCAGGTAATTTGTAACAAAATCACAGGTCTACAGTGAAACATTATGCCTTCAAATCCATTCCATTAAGATTAGATTTTTATACCAATATCTAGATTTACTTGCTCAGTAAAAATTATTTGAATTTTGGAAATATTTTCTAGCACACTTGGTTTGGGCATTTTACAGTCTCTTAAAACTATGGTATTGATAACACTAAACATCATCTAACACAAGAAACACTACCTTTTTGCAGCTGTAATTTTCTTTGACATTGTTTTTGTGCAGAGTGTCAAACTGTTGAAAAATCACCTCATGGAGTGCATGAGCAAAAGCATACACAGCATTGTATATGTCATAACTCCATTCAATAAAGGCCATGTCAAAAGTATGCTTCTTTAGCCATTCCAATGAGTGACTAGATGAGCAGGTTTTCAGTGTCTTACACGTAGAATCTGAGACTTCACAGTTGAAGTGCATCCATTCCAGCGTTACCAGAAATTCATCTGAGTGTTTGAAAGGGTTCAATGTCTGGACAAAATTTTTAAAACCAGAAATCTCACCATGGTGTTGCCCCAAAGCAAAAGTCCCATATACATTATCAAATGTGAAGTCTTTCGTACTAGGAGTGACATCCCACTTTGAGGTGGTGACCCATATTTTCTGTATGCCTCGAGATTCCCACATTGTAAAGCTCACAGCTAAAGTACTGTCTGTGTCACCATAAATGATAACAACATTTGTTGATGATGTCATGATTCGGTTGTAATACATTTCAGCTCTTGACATGTACAAATGCAGGTTGACTGGAATCATGTTGACAAAGGCAAAGCAGACTGTACTTTTTTCCATCTCGCTTTTTAAATAAGAGAGAAATTGGACACCTTGATCATTGTCTGAGATGGCCAACCCTATCCAGTTCCAACTGAAATGAATTATGAAGGAGACCAGAGCAAGGGCTAGAGATCTATCATCAGAGGACATCTGATGAAGACAGGGAAATTTTTCATTATCACTCAAGACAGGATAAAAAGGTCCATAAGTAAGCTGAAGGAACTAGAACAGAGGAAGCAGAATTAAGTACAATAAATTCTTAAAACTTGTAAACACATTTTTCTGCACAGTTCTAGAAAACTCAACTATTATTTCCTCACTCATCTCTATTTCACTTAAGGAAGTGTGGAAGCCCTGTCAAGTCTCAAAATAGTATCCTTGAACTACATAGATTGGCCCAGTCCTAGTAAAGTCATGCTGGCATTAACAGATATTTAATTTCATGATTGAATTCCCGTCCTGCCCCCAATACACATACACACACACACACACACACACACACACACACACACACACACACACATACAAACACAAATACTTACCTGCTGAGATATGAAGTGGTTTACGATTATATGAAGTTTAACAGTTGTTGCCCAATTTAATCCTGTAAGTGCCATTAGACAGTTGGTGAATTCTTCACATATATAATTAGGCAGAATCGTATGACTTTGTAAACTCGAATGAATGACACTGTTTAATTGGGATTCGCAATCACAAGTGTCTGCTAAGAATTTAAATATTAGAGACATATTTGGCAAAAGATCAGGGTTTCTGTTGATTTCATATATGGAAAAAACCAAAGCCAGAGCATACTTGTGTTGTTCAGTATGTATTCTGTAAAAGGTTATAGTGTTTATAATTGACAGATATTTACAGATAACATTTGCAATCAATAAATGGACAATCTGGCACTGGATTGTATTGTCCCCACCCCTTAAAGATTGAAATGATCTATGTAAGGTGGTTGAGATGACAAAATAAGCTGGAAGTTCATAAAACCTTGAAAAGTTCATAAAAGTTCTTCTCTCATAATTGAGTTGTGATCACTATTAGTAATAACATCACTTTTCAACGAAAGCAAACGTATCCCTTAAGGTCCATACATTGCTTCTTTATTTTAAAGAGAGAGTAAAAAAACTGGACTTTGTAAGACCTTAAAGTCAGTGAATTTGTATAGATCAAAATATGAAGTTCACAGTGGACAGATCTATTAGTTAAATTTTTGTTGCAGCCTCAGTACATAAATGGGCACCATGGAGGAACTTTAAGAAAGTAATTGAATATTTATATGAAAGCTCGGAACAGCAAGATGTGTCTCGAAAATTAGTAGCCCCAGCACACCCACTAGAAACTATACTGTGATGGAAGGACCATCAGCAGGCTCTATGGTCATTTGCCTAAACACACTTAGGATAAAATCATACAAAATTTATAGGGAATATTTCCATAAGATACCATTGGCTACTGTGGTATGGAAACTGTCTAAAACAGAGATTTATGTGGAAGATGAAGGTTCATACTTGTTTTATTGCTAGCTTCCATCCCTGTAACTGTGAATTTGATAGAAAAAATATACTCTGCAAATTTTAAAGTGATATCATATTAAGTCTCTGACAGAATTTGGAGCTCTTTCTTTTTTGCAGGTTGAAAACACAGTAGAAAGACACAAAGCTTTGATTTGCTTCTCATTCTCAGTAGTTTACAGAAATATTCATGATGACCTTTACACGGAAAATATAAAAGCACTTACTGTATATTGAAAATATCACTGAAATACTCCTTCTCTACAGGCCACTGTACTGATGTAATAAAGAAGACACAACCTGTTCTCCAGTTTCCATCCTTGTTTCCATTCTGCTTCATTCTCCAAAAACACCTGGGATAAATACAATTAGCCACAAGAAGGGGAATGTTCAGGAGTAAGAAAAGTAAAATCATGGTGAACATATTTTTTTCTGCTCTAAATATGTGCAATGTGGACTGTGAAGTGTCACACAGATCAGCAAATAAAACAGGTACCAATATATCCCCATGTACTCTTATCACTGTTGCCAAGAGAATGCTACATATGTATTCATGTTTCCTTTTTTAGAAGTGTTTCATCACCCCTGGAGAAATCATTGACACTCTCTCCTGAGAAACTTCTTCTGATGTCCACCATGCAGGTGATAAACTTGGTTGATAAATATAGATGAAGACTGTATAGCTAAGTAAATGACATCATATATGGTTTTGGAAATTACAGTCCCTGGGAAGATTACACTTTGTGAAAATTTGGTCCCAAGATTGCCTCAAAATACGTTTATGTAAACACCTTAAATAATGTCAATCTATTTTGTTAGTTGATCTACCATGAGACATGCATTAATGGTTCAGGTAGGACTTACAAGTTCTGAGGTCATGGTTACACACTAGCCATTGTGTCACAAATCTCCAGAGAGGGAAAAGCAGTCTCATGTTTAGAGCATTTGATATCTACTGAGAATACTGTATGGACTATACTACAGCATTGACAGGTACAGAATATCTAAATAAAATCTGTACTTACATTTTCTTGAGATTTTAAATTAATGACAAATCTACAAATGTCCTGAATCCTGCTACATTCAAAACTATCCAAATCATCACAGAATCACAATCTCTCTCTCTCTCTCTCTCTCTCTCTCTCTCTCTCTCTCTCTATCTCTATCTCTATCTCTATCTCTATCTCTATCTCTATCTCTATCTCTCTATTAGCTTTATCAACTACTGATTTTATTGGTGTTATTTACAGGTGACTGAGAGACACAGAAGAGCATACTTTCCTATGAGTACCATGAAAACTGGGTCCCTTAAGCTCACTGCATGACTTGCAGGCAGCTTTGTTGGTGAGAACCTCTTCTGCCTAGCAATTATTTTTGCTTACATATATTTGGGGTAGTAGTTAGCAATCTTGTAAGTTTCACCAACTTGTTGAGCCTTGTGAGTTTCCTTTGGACTGTACTTCTCAAAAACCTTGCTTCTACCCTCTAGGAAGTAATATTAGGATCTAAAAACAATAAACAGCTAAAGGTTACTATCACAGCTTCAGTTTTGTTTAAAGGCCTATTTCTCCACTTACTGGCTTTGGAATAATTTCATTTCCATCTGTATGGTTTTTGTAGGTCTATAAAACAAACTCGTGTAGGTTTCTTGGTACTTTATTTATTTATTTATTTATTTTACTTCACACTTAAAGAAGTGAAATTTATAGTTCACTTACTAGGTTTCTGTCAAATATGTTGATTTAAAAATCACTCCCAGTGTTGAATCCCTAGCTCTCTTGTCTGTAACCTTGTCTAGGCTTGTTAAATTATAGAAATGAAGGACAGTTCTCCAAGTTAGATAGCACTAAAACCTTCCTTTTTAATTCTGAGTTTATGCTGGTTGTTATAGCTTTGATTGTTTTCTTCATTCTGAGGAGATACTTTTCTGTTTGTCAGTAATTATTTACATATTTTTAAATACATTTAGAATATTCTCCTATATGGTTAGGATTTTATTTTCCTCCACTATATAGCATGAAGGTTGATATAATTTTTTTAATTTTAAATACTTTATTTACATTTCAGACATTGAGCTCCTCTGGGTTCTCTTGCATTCTAAATATTCAACAAGATCCAGAAAGAATGCTAAATCTGTGTGCTCATTTCAAATACTACGTAAGACCTAGCACTCATATTCCCGATAAATATCAAGATAAATTAAGCTGAATATTTACTTGAGTTCTAAAATATGATCTTCAAACCTGAACCTTAGTTCTTACTGATCACTACATTGCTTAGACCTGTTTCTTCTAGTTTGTATTTGATTTTCTACATTGATTTTGCTAGTTTTGCATTCCAGTAGTTGCTGTGAGGAATTCTTACAATTAGCATCATAGAAACAAATAGTGTCTTCCATTTGCACCTGTGCCTGGATCACCACCAACCCAGAACACACTCCAGTTGCAGCTCAACTCTCCAGGTGTTCTGACACATCCAGGATTTTAGGTGATAAATCAAACCCTATCCCAATACCTGGTGTAACATGGATCCCCAGGATACCAAGATGAAGACACACCACCCGCCAGAAACCTGTCCATCTCCCCAGATATTTGCTGGCCCCTTGACTTGTGAATCTTCACTCTTTTCTATACCTATTATTCTTATGTTTCATCTTTTCATTGTTTCCTGGTTTTCTAGACAAATACCTGGGACGAAAGTTAAATCAGGGTCAGGTAAACCATTTAAACAGGCCCATAACCCCTAAGAATATAGAAGCAATCTTTAGCAATCTCCCAAACAAACAAACAAACAAACAAAAACCAGAATCTCAGGGTTGGATCCTTGTACTGAGAAATTTATCAGACCTTCGAAAAAAACCTAATACCAAAACTTCTCAAGTTATTCCATAAAATAAAAACAGAAAAAACACTACCCAATTCTTTCTATGACGCCACAGTTACACTGATACTTAAGCCACAGAAAGATCCCCCAAAAAAGAGAACTTCAATTTCTCTTATGAATATTGATGCAAAAATACTCAGTAAGCTTCTCACAAACAGAACGCAAGAACACATGAAAATAATCATTTGCCATGATCAAGTAGGGTTCATCCCAGGAATGAAGGGATGGTTTAACATACTGAAATCCACCAATGTAATCCACTATATAAATAACAGAAAAAAACACATGATCATCTCATTAGATGCTAAAAAAAAGCCTTTGAAAAAATACAACACCCATTCATATTAAACATATTGGAGAAATCATGAATTCAAGGTTCATACACAAGTATAATAAACACAATATACAGCAAACAAATAGCCAACATAAAATTAAATGAAGACAAACTCAAAACAATCCCATTAAAATTTGGGACAAGAGAGGGCTGCCCAATCTCTCCCCACCTATTCAATATGGTACTCTAAGTTCTAGCCAGAGAAATTAGACAACAAAACAAGATCAAAGGGATATAAATTGAGTAGGAGGAGGTCAAGATTTTATTTGTAGATGATATGATAGCATACATAAGCAACCCCAAAAATCGGACCCAAAAGCTCCTAGAACCTCAGCATAGTACCTGGCTGGATATAAAACTAACACTAACAAATCATTAGCCTTCCTGTACTCAAAGAATAAGTGGGGTGAGAAAGAAATTAGGGAAACAACACCCTTCAAAATAGTCACAAATAATATAAAAATATTGTGGTATGACTCTAATCAAGCAAGTGAAAGATCTATATGACAAGAACTTCAAGTCCTGAAGAAAGAAATCAAATAAGACCTCAGAAGAATGAAAGATCTTGTATGCTCATGGATTGGGAAGATTAATAGAGGATAAATGGCATTCTTACCAAAAGCAATCTACAGATTTAATGAAATCCCCATCAAAATTCCAACTCATTTCTTCACAAAGTTAGAATGATCAACTCTCAAATTCATTTAGAATAACAAAAAAAAAGATAGCAAAAACTATTCTCAACAATAAATAACTTCTTAGGGAATCACATCCCTGACTTCAAGCTATAATATAGCAATAGTGATAAAAGCTGCATGTTACTGGCACAGCGACAGGCAGGTAGATCAATAGAATAGAACTTAAGACCCAGAAATCAATCCACACACCTATGGTCACTTGATCTTTGACAAAGAAGTTAAAATCATCCAGTGGAAAAAAAGACAGCATCTTCAACTAATGGTGCTGATTCAACTGGTGGTCAGTATGTAGGAAAATGCAAATTTATTCATTCCTAGCTCCTTGTACAAAGCTCAAGTACAAGAGGATCAATGACCTCCACATAAAGCCAGATATGATGAATCTAATAGAAGAGAGAAAGTGAGGGAAACCTCGAATACACTGGCACAGAGGAAAATTTCCTGAACAGAACACCAATGGTGTATGCTCTAAGATCAGCAATCAACAACTGAGACCTCATAAAGTTGAAAATCTACTGTAAGGCAATGGATACTGTCAATAGAATGAAAGGCCACCCACAGATTGGGAAAAAAAATCTTTAGCAACCCTACATCTTGATAGAGGGCTAATATCTAATATATACAAAACTCATGAAGTTAGACTGAAAATAAAAACCCAAATAACCCAATTAAAAAATGGAGTACAGAGCTAAACAGAGAATTTTCAATTCAGGAATCTCAAATTGGGGGTAGCCACTAGAAAATCCCAGAAGCCATGGACCCAAGAGGTTCCCAGGCCCAACAGGAAAGACTTTAGCCAAAATACCCAACAAAGTGTAGATAGAACCTGTAGAGACCATATCCAGTGGATAGGCAAGGCCCCCGTTTGAGGAATGGGGCCACCCACCCACCTCAAGAATATTAATCCAGAATTCTTCCTGTCAAAATAAATGTAGGAACAAAGAGTAGAGCAGAGACTGAAGGAAAGGCCATCCAGAGACTGCACCAACTAGGGTTCCATCCCATCTGAAGACACCAAACCCAGGCGCTATTGCTGGTGATAGAAGTGCCTGCTGATAGGAGAATGGTATAGCTGTTCCCTGAGAAGCTCTGCCAGAGCCTGACCAATACAGCTGTACATGCAGGCAGCCAAACATTGGCCTGAGTGTAAGGACCTCAATGGAGAAATTGGGTCAAAAACGGAAGGAGCTGAAGGGGTCTGCAACCCCATAGGGGTACCAAAACTATCAACCAACCAGAATCCCCAAGCTACAAGGGACTAAACCACCAATCAAAAAGTACACATAGGGTGGGAGGAGACCCATGGCTCTAGATAGATATGTAGTAGAGGATGCCTTATCTAGCATCACTGGGTGGGGATCCCTTTGTTCCTGTGGAGGCTCATTGACCCAGGGTAGGGGAATGCTAGGGCACTGAGACAGGAGTGGGTGGGCTAGTGGGGAGCACCCTCATATAGGCAGGGGGAGGGGAGGGGATAACGGTTCTGTGGAGGGGAAACTTGGAAGGGGGATAACATTTGAAATGTAAATA